TAAGGTGTAAATTTTATTATGTTTGTAGTCTTTTAGAAAAGTATGTAAGTATAGGTAAGATTACATTAGATAACGTTTCACGTTACCATGACGATGTTTTAATTAAAAAAAAAAATTATACGTAAAAATGATTTCTTTTTTGGTAGTCCCGTTTTAATGTACATTTTAATTTCTGACCCGCGACGTAATTGACATAATCAAAATATTACGTACATATTGATTTACTGGGATAAAAAAGCCCACGTCATTCTTTGTTCCAAATATTACATTTGTGTCAATTTCGTTACGATCAATAGAATAGTTGAGTCGCGAAAAGCTGACAAACAAAATACAAATTCTCATGTACAAAAACACGATTTTATAAAATTAAGATGTAAACTAAATTATACCTTATTATAAATAAAATCAGAAAAAAATATTTTTAACAATCTCAAACAAACTGCAGTTGGTTAATGGACGTATGTAGTACAGCCGGAACCGTATTTTGTTGCAATGGACTTTTTAAATAGGTTGAAATATGTTCATAATGTAATTTAAAATAAAATTATATCATAACGTTCTTAAAAGAAAAATAAATATATGGAAAGTAATGTAAACACAAACAATAAAAATATAGTATATATATGTAATATTCCTGACACAGATCTTTAATACGCGCCCATTTCACCTGAACCGAACGATAGGTTTCTAAAACGAAAAGGTAGGTATCGCACCTTACTACGTGCGGTTCACCGTTCTATTATATGGAATTGACGCCTTCAGACTACCTGATTTGATAATTAAATTGATGTTTACTCAAGCTTAATTAGACTAATAATAGGTTCTTATATATGAAATTAGCGTTTTGTCGTACTGACCACTTTGATCTAAAATATCTCTTCTGTTCTTTCATTAAGAATTCAAAATTCAAATTTATAAATTAATTTATCTTGTACTCATTCTTTATTTTTTTCCTTGGCGTCGCTTATTACCGCACAATGGAAAACATGAAATATCGGTATATTTACGAGAACGAGTTCTACGGTAGCACCAGTGCTGCAGAAACAGCTCGAAGGATCAATCAATCAATCAATGATGTGTACGGCGCTGGTGTCATAAAAGAAAGCACGGTACGTTTTTGGTTTCAACGTTTTCGTTCTGTAAATTTCGTGTGGAATTCTTGTTTGTTCAAAGTGAAATATGAAGAATTAAAGGCTATTGTGGAAGCGGATCCATCACAAAGCACTTCAGAGATAGCTGCAAGCTTCAGGGTAAGTCATAAAACTGTATTAATTCACTTGAAGCAAATCGAGAAAGTAAAAAAACTTGAACGATGGGTACCTCATGAATTGAGTGAATCGAACTTACAAACACGCGTCGACTGCTGTGTTACTTTGCTCAACCGACACAATAATGAATTTATCGGATCGAATCATTACTTGTGATGAAAAGTTGATACTGTACGATAATCGGAAACGCTCGTCCCAATGGCTGAACTCTGGAGTCCCAAACAAATTTTACCCTAAACGAAAATTGACTCAGAAAAGGTTATTTGTGTTTGGTGGATTAGCGCCGGTGTCGTTTACTACAGCTTTCTAAAATCTGGCCAAACGATTACGGCAGATATCTATTGTCAGCAACTGCAAACCATGAAGGAAGAACTAAAAACTGCTAAACAACCGAGATTGGTCAATTACTCTAGGCCACTGCTGCTTCACGACATCGCAAGACCACACGCTGCACAACAAACAACCACTAAGTTAGATGAGCTACAATGGGAATGTCTGCAACATCCACCATACTCCCCGAACCTTACTCCAACAGATTACCATTTTTTCCAAAATTTGGACAACTTCTAACAAAGAAAAAATTCAACTCCAATGCAGTAGTCCAAACTGCCTTCAAAGAGTTTATTAATTCTCGCCCCCATGGTTTTTTAGTAAAGGGCTCAATGAACTACCTATGAGATGAGAAAAGTGCATAGATAATAACGGTGCATACTTTGATTAATTAAATATATTTTACAAAAATAAATGACTTTATATTCCTCCCATAGAAAACGCCAATTTCATATGAAAGGACCTAATAATATTATTTCAATTTACCTATACCTTTTACCTTAATAGGTATTAAGAGTTTCAATTTGTAAAGTTCAGGACTACTTTTTTTTCTTATTACAAATAACCCTACTTGCCTTTATATAGGGGGAAAGGATTGGTGGTAATGGGGTCTAAATAACCCCTTTTTTTTAGGGTTATACCTAATGGAATGGTCACCACCCGCCTATCGGTACCTACACTGGCGAGGTACCAGTAAAGGATGATAGGTGAGGATGAAACAAGTCAGTTAGCCCATCGTGACGAATTCCACTAGAATTAACCACGATGGTTTTCAGGGGGAACCGCGTGAAGGTTTCAGTTTTATGGTTGGTAATGGAATGTTAACCCTGCCTGCGCTAACGGTATATACTGGCGAGGTACCAGTGAAGGATGATAGATGAGGATGAAAATGCAGGTCAGTTAGTCCATCGTGATGAATAAACCTGGAATTCAGCACGATGGTTTCCAGGGGGGGACCACGTGAAGGCCGACCTGAGTACATTGCTAGCAATGCAACAAGTAGTTTGCGTTACTAACAATCCCTTCCCCCTCCACCGCGTGAAGGTTTTTTGATGGGTGAAAATGGAATGGTAACCCCGCCTGTGCTAACGGTATACGCTGGCGGGGCACCAGTGAAGGGTGATCGATGAGAATGAAAACAGGCCAGTTAGCCCATCATGATGAATTCAACAGGAATTAACCATGATAGTTTCCAGAGGAAACCACGAGGAGGTCGACCTGGTTGGGTATATTGCTAGCAATGAAATTTTTAGTCCCCATTACTAACAATCCCTTTCCCCCCGACCGCGTAGAGGTCGACCTGATAGGGTGTATTGCTAGCATTACTAACAATCCCTTTCCCCCCAACACCCCCTTGTTACTCTATCAGGCCAACTTTCACGCGGTTCTCCCTAGAAACTGTCGTGGTTAATGTTGAATTTAACACGATGGGCCAATTGACCTGCACTCATCCTCGCCTATCATACCTCAATGGTGGCCCACCAGCGTAAACCGTTAACGGGGGCGGGGTTACCATTCCACTATCATCAATTAAAAAAAACTTCTGAAACTGTCGTTGCTTCCTATTTAAAATGTGAAAGTTTGTTATTAAATTTTAATGTCTTAACGTGATAACCAATCGCTATTTTTTTTTACAACACAGGGGGAAAACGAGCATACGGCTCACCTGATGGTAAGTGACTACCGCCGCCCATGATCACCCACAACACCAACGGAATTGTAGATGTGCTGTCGGCATTTTAAAAAGGAATATGCGCTTTTCTTGAAGGTTATGATGTCGTATCGGTTCGGAAATACTGCTACTGGAAGTTGATTCCAAAGAGTGGTTGGTATTGGTATTTGGTATACATGTACTATATGGTAAAGAGGACATCGGCTACTTTTAATTCCGGTCAATGAACAAATCCCGATGATGAGAACGAAGTCGCGGGTAAAAGTTAGTATTTTATATATATAGGACGGCCCCATATATATATTAATTATTTTTGATCAAACATCCTTCGCAGCCACATCAAAAGCAAATGGATACTAAATATAAATTGAATCATAGTTTATCAGTCCAACTTTTTAGTCTTTTTAGTTTTAATTATTGCAGACATAAATAAGAAAAAAAAAGAGAACAAAAACAATATTTAAGTGTAATAAAGTTCCTAATATGTTATTCAAAACAAAAAGTCAACAAAATGTATTGGTATTTAAAATTGGCAACAACAGGTCAAGTGTTTGTAGATACACTATTAAAAACCGGATAAGTGCAAAGGTAAATATTAGCTCAATATCACATAAATCTATATTCAAAGAAATTAGACACCTAGCTTAATTTTTCAAACTCCATCCAATTATATATACTAATACAATTACTTTTTTTTAATTATGCGTGCTTATCTAGATAAATATCATTCTTTTTTTTATTAGTAAATTCCCATATATAAACTTGACAAGTTATTTTTCGTGCAATTATATGAGTAAAAACTTAATAATTACATGAATTTGAGCTGAATAAAGATGATTTAAACATTTAAATAATGACAATCAAAGTAATACTACACCTACGTACTGCCTACCTACCAACTACTACAAGGAGAAAAAAGTTTGTTAGTGATGGGTGACCCTCACTGTTAATATCCTGTCAACTAGATGTCTACGCAATATTTCTTGGAACCTGTAATGATTAATTCCTAATGTATTCACCACAATAGACTATGAGACAAGACTTCAAATTTGTCATTCACAGCTTGGATGCCGAACGGTTAACACTAGGCTCAAAACAGCGATCTAATAATTTGCCTGAAGTTGCCTCGTTTAGAGCTAAAACACATGTCGCAAAACTTGTGTAAACAAAATAGCAGTCATAGATTGATGGCTTATATAGAAGGTTGTGGAAATTCTGGTAGTAATAGTGATCAATCTTGGAATCTTGACAGTCACAGACATACTAATGATAGCGAAATTAAATAATTCTAATCAAATAACTAATGACTAAAGTTCATGCTTAACTATTATCCTTCACTGATGGCCAGCGTAAACCGATAGCGCAGATGGGTTTTACATTCCATTTTCATACTTACTTATATAACCTTGTTATTTAATCCTTTTTATATTATACTTACATTTTTTTATTTACAAAAACAACTGGATTAATTACACTTAGTATGAAATTATATTGATAAATATTGATTGTCGGCTATTGTTTTCTAATAAACTATTTAACTAGAATTTGTTCGTTCTGGATCTATAAAAAAGAGTGATTTTTTTTTAAAGTATATCCAGTTACTAAGAAAAATAAAGAAAACAAAGCCTATGTTTACAATGCATACATTTCAATGTATATTTCCTTATAACCATATGTGAACATTGAAATTATACAAATAGGACAGATAAGGAAAATTTGAAACAAACCAATTATTTACTGAAAACTTTTAATATTTGGTACACGAAATAAATTAATCGCCTTAATATTACCACGTCAGACGCATAACATGATCAGTTTTTCGTTTAGATGATTTTATAAAACCAAGAAACTGTAGCTCTGCCACAGCACGGGTGAATCTTATACTGAAACAAACAAAAAGAATTAGATATTACTTCACATACATAAAAGTTTGTTACGAGAATTTAGTTGTTAACTTCCATTCAAAACTGCTCTTATTTTTTTTTAAACATAAAAAGCCAGTAAAGTGCATATTGAACTCACACGAAGAGGGTTCCGTACATAGATTATTGCATTTCTAATAAGAATTAGAAACCCCACAGTTATTATTACTGATACTGCAATTCGTAATATTTTGGACCATAATTTTAAAAACTGGACCGCATAACTAAGTTTTTGAAGATTTTCTAATATTTTCTCAAAATGATACTAGTTAGAAATACTTTTTATTTTGCTATAATATTTACATATACCTTTATAAACTGTAATTAATTCAGATTTTCGCTTCAAGCTTTTCGGACACAAACAATATAATACCTTCGGAAATAAGCGATTTTTGTTTATTATCGATTGTAAGTCAAAAATTAAGCAGAATAAAAATATAATCTTAATATGTTCAAATGAAACTCTTTTATATTATATAGGGTATCATATAATTTTAACAAAGAAAATTCCCATTATTTATATGGCAATATGTGTGGACCAACTACATGTAAAACTATTCCAAATTGATAGCGTTAATACTTTCTATAATAATCTGATAAAAGAATAACAAAGTTACACAATAAGGATTCCTTTGTTCCATTTTTAAAGCAGAACCTAAAAAGACTACTTCTAAAAACACAAAACGAGCTGATAGTCCACATGATGGAAAGTTGTTATAATCTTATCTGTCATCATCTATGAAACCAATAATAATATATAACCATTACACTTACTTTGGCTATTTTACACATCAGACCAGAACATAATATTCATTCACAATATTATTATATTTACTTATATGTGAGTTAAAGCAAAAATAGACGAGTAAATAAAACCCAAGCAAGTCATACAGAACTCTATCTACTAGTAGGATTCATTATTATGTAATATTGATCAAAAATATCATCGCTTCTTTGTTAATCTCACTTTATTTAGAGTTAAGGAAAACCCAAATGCGCTATAGATTCTGCAACTGAAATGCACGGAAAATAAACACACTTGGTCTTTATATACTAAATACATAACATCGTAATCCTCAAGAAGGACAACGCTTGACAGAATTTTCACTAATAGTACATCTACTATGAGCGCGACAGCAAATTCTGTGTTATTCACAAGACTGCTCATAGTTTGACCTGCTCATACGGCCCTTATTTAGCATTAAAGAAACCATCAGTTTGCTTGCCTTCCCAAATCATATAACAAAATATTATTGTAATCTGAGCTTACTGAATATTCGTATCCTGTTGTCGCTGGTCATCGTCATCCTCGGGACGCAACACTGCAGCGAACGCTTGCAGCCAATCGAATAAATTTATATGCTTGCCGCACTCTCGATGCAACTTGTACGCTAAGCAAACGTCCGGTAATGTATCCACTACGCTCTCCGAAGACGCCAGAAGACAACAAGAACACTAAAAAGTTTATCAAAATAAGAATTTCGTAATTATTTAAAACTAAAACTACTCAACAAGAAATTTGAGATAGGTATGTCCAAAGAATTCCAAAAAAAATCCAGAAAACTATACATAGTCATCTGCCAAATAATTGCATCACGGTGTTTCATTTGTAGGATGAGATATGGCATTATAAAATTTATACATGTATAAAATTTATTTAAAAAGAATATGAGCTGAGTTTCTTGTCAGTTCTTCTCATCTTGAAATCATTCCGAACTGACGGTAGATTTGACTTATCATAAGAGTCTGTAATAGACCTACATAAATAAAGATATTTTGAATTTGAATTAAAATTACTGCTTTTTGCAATCTTCTAGTGAAGGGAAACATCTTAATACTTGAGAACCGCATGAAGTCGTAGCAATATGATCATCATCATCATTTCAGCCATTATCCATCCACTGCTGGACATATGCCTCCCCCATAGACTGCTACAAGTGACGGTCCTGAGTCATCTGTATCCACTGACTCTGCAAATGCATTTGAGGTCGTCACTCCATCTAGTGGGGGGTCGTCCCACACTGCATTTGCCCGTACGAGGTCACCACTCAATAACCTTTCTACCCCATCGGTTTCCCATCGTCGCGATATATTCGGCGATATCTATAGTCATATCATGTCTATAGGTCTGTACCTTGACACCATGAGGCACTTACTATCAAGTGAACTGAACTTGTTTCCCAAAACGTAAAAAACATGATGTTATAATATATTATAATTATATATTATTCTTTTAATGCTTGATTATATAACATACCTGAAGATAATGGATTGGGTTGCTCAGAGCCGTGTGTAAAGCACCCCGTGGGGATCCTACTATATGCTTTTTTACGCTCGCAACATCGCTAAAGAAAAATATCTCATGGAATATTTGTGTGTGCGGCGGTTGCAACCCCTTATTAAACATTTCCTCTAAGTAACTCACGAACCTCGAACGCACCATTTCAAATTCCGATTGTATTTTGTCCACTCTTGTAGCTTTAAGTAGTTTCTAAAATTATTATAAAATTTAAAATACAATATATGTATAGTCGCAGAAAAATAAAAGCATTTCCATACAATTATTTAGGTTTTGATCTTCCTATTATATCGCAATACAATCGTACGATATCGTAGCGTGCTACAGTATATTATTAAAGCGCCTATAAATTTACATAGAAATGTACTGAAGGTGACTTACCTCTTTTAATTTGTATCTGTTTCCAGGAATATTTTCTGAATTATCATCACCTTTTTCAATGTTGTCAGTTAAAATACAAGTTTCTGTATTGGCATTTTCAATTTGTCGGGAAAACATTAAAAGATGAACTCGAATAGTTTTAACGAATTTCTCCCCAATATCATTGCTTAATTGAATATTATTTAAATTATTTTTAGTTGGTGTAGACCGAAGAGGTTTCACTGGCGAGACCACTTGTAAAGCAGCGTTTATTATTTTCAATGCTTGTTTTATGTTTTCAACCAACTTCATTTGCGATTGGAAATTTAATAATTGCATACACTCTTTGAAACCTTGTGTACCAGTTACACATTCCACTGCACATTTTGTGTAAATTTCGCGAACCTGTAAGAATAATATATACAATCTTTCTAGTAATAATTTGTAACTTTATACATTCGTGATCCATGTTATTAAAATTAGAGTAAAAGATTTCTTACCGATTTTCCTAAAACATTTTTCGGAAGATCAGTGACCAATACCGATAATAATCTGACACAAACATAAAATGTGTACATATAGTCATGCAATTTATTAATCTCAGTACAAAGTACTTCTCTGAAGAAATCGTCATCTTCAAACAGATTGATTCTTGTTTGGCAATCCAGTTGCGCTTCCAAAAATGGCCTGAAAGACAATAGTTGCCTAATACTTTCAAGATCATCTGTACTTAAATTTCTGACTGTTTCCTCAATATTTTCTCTTTCGCAGCAAAGTGCTTTCATATTGTCTCCATAATAATGATCCATCATACAGTACTGAAAACATTTTTACCTTTAGTCATCTGAGTAATTTAAAATAATAATTTATATATTGTAAAAATAGATGTTTATATATGTATTATGTTAATTTCAAAGTGGCTTGTTAAATGACTGTGATGTCGAACCGTCGCCTATAGACATGAGCAGTACCATGGACATAACAGAGTATACTGTTTCGCCCATGATACCCCCCATGCATTGCCATTCCTGAGGACTCAGGTGTTATTCCTCCGTACCCTGTAAATTTTCGCCATATCCCACCCTTCAAACCGAAACACAGCCATGAAAACACAACTGCTTTACGGTAGAAACACGAATGGGACAGAGGTATCCAAGCAATCGACTTTTGTACAAAGTCTCCCTCTGGTATGAAGTATGTAACATAATAATTAAAATACCATCCAAAAAACAAATATACACTTTAAAAATTAGAGAAAGCAAGTATTGCTATGCAAATTCATAATACCCTATCTTAGATAACAGATATCAGTGCTTTCATTATAAATAATACTTTACCTTGATACTTTGAACAAGTCCTGTTACTGAAAAATCATAAAATAAGAATACATCGGTCAACAACTCAAATGCTTTCCCTGATAAATGAAAAGGACTTGTATGAGTTAAAAATATGTCTTCAAGCACCTGAAATTAGATTGCACGTATTAAAAACATTTCTATTTAATGTTAAGATATAATAATAAAACATAATTATATTCAATTCTCCTTACTTGATTCATATAAACAGGTGATGAGTGTGAATGAAATACTTTTATCAAGAGCTTGGATGATACGTGATACGGAAGTGACTTATGTAGCGCCGACACTGCTGTTGCCACACCAAACACAAATACTATTGGCAGTGCAGGTACATATGAACTGAAATCAAACAAAATATAATACAATATAATTTTTTTTTTCAAGATTCTTTTATTGTCTCATATTTCCATTTATCTAGCTAGAGAGGAAAGGTATGGGAGAAGAGGATGGGGAGAAGATGGGCACTCCCCCCTCCCCCCACCCCAAATAAGTTATTCCCCAACCTCTTTGAAGTTTGTTGATTGTTAGTCTCATTAGATGTTCTTGAAGTTTTTTTATGCAACTTAGAATGTCAAACAAGCCGACAGTCCACCTGATGGAAAGTGGAATCTGTCGCCTATACATATGAGCAGTACCATGAACATAACAGAGTATACTGTTTCGCCCATGATGTACCCTGTAAATTATATGTACTCAAACACGGTAGAAATATGAATGGGACAGAGATGGAGTAGTTGTTTGATCTGATCTATTTTAATATTTTCTAATATTCCGCTAGTGTCATAATCTAGAGAAAACCAATTATGTCAAAATCTGATTAATAATTATAAATGCGAAAATTTGTAAAGATGTACGGATAGATGGGTGGTTAGGTGGACGGGAGGGTGGATGGATGGATGTTTGTTACTTTTTCATGCAAAAACTACTGAATGGATTTAAAAAAGATTTGGTACATGAGTAGGTCATATCCTAACTTAACAGATAGGATATTTTATGTATTGATTAACACAAGTAAAGCAGCGGGAAACGGCTAGTAATAGCGCAAATAGCTAGCTATATACTCCTTATAGTAAAATAAAAATTTTTATTTTTTCCTGATATACTAACAACAAATTATTTCTTTTAAGTTAATGAAGTTACATAATTAAACAAAATACCTTATAATCATTACAAAATCTTGTAATACATTGCAATTAAAACTTTCAAAATCAGGTATTATAATAACTAGAGATCTCTTCATTCTTATGCATTTTTTCTTCTTTGGTGATACAGTTATATACTTAGAATTATACCACTTTAATAATACTTTCAATGTACATTGACTCTTTTTTATTTTCTTTATTTCATTATTATCTTGTGAGTCTTTACTCTCTATATCATCCTGTAATGAATATACATATAATTTAATGTACCTACCCATTAAACAGTTTTATTAATAAAAAAACATTTTATTAAAATTTTAAAGAATTTCTGACAAATATTTTTTGCCATGTGGTCAAAATATAGAAAAGGCCATCCCTTTCTTTCCCATGGGTGTCATAAGTGGGGACTAGTAGAATTTAATAGTCGAAAGATGGGTAGCAGCATTCCTTTTAAAACATCACAAAAAGCTGAACTGTATTGTCATCCCACCTGGTAAATATGGCAACTATTGGCAAAAAAACACTCCATTTAGCCTATGTTCAAAAGTGATATGATGATGATGGTATTTTTATTAGTATTTTAGAAGTTTGTCCTTATTTTACACATATACTTTATGAATATTATTATCAATTAATACAAAAGCCTTAAAAAATTGTCTAAAAATCATAAAGGCTATTTACCAATGCTTCATATCCATGAATCAACTGCCAAACGGTATTTTCTACCAAATGTTTCAAAGTGGGAGCATCTTGTGAATTTACCATTGCTATATGTGATGTCACTTCTTGCCTAAAAAATACAAAAAGTAATAAAAGATAAAAAACAAATATATGAAACATTATTAGTTACACAATGTTAGCTTTCTCATTTCGTCCTCATTTCTGAACAAACAAGTCCAAATAGTAGAGAAAATTTACTCTACTTAATTTGTAGATGAAACTGATTGATGTAAAAGTATTGAAAATATAATAATAAATAGTAATAAATAATTTGTATTTAATTAAAGGATAAATACTTAACCAATTTTAAAAATTCTGTCACACTGTTTAAATGAATATATATATATATATATATATATATATATATATATATATATATATATATATATATATATATATATATATATATATATATATATATATATATAATGAATTCAATTTTTACTTTTCTTGCAGTGGTATGTTTTGTTCACATAGTCACTTTATACAGCATCCTTGCAATGAAGGGGCTATTCAACTGTATTCTTACTTCATTATCAAAGAGAGAATACTCATACAAATTACCTTCATAGGATGCCATAAACCAAGTTGGGTTATGAAAAACCAAGTAATACCAAAAAGCAAACTTAAATACCCCCGATTCAAACAAATTGAAAGGAAAAAAAGGAATGTCCTAAATGAGTCCAATCAAGAATCAAACTCTACACCTATAATATAATGAAAATTATATCATAGATAATGATGATGTCACTGTTTTCTAGAAATTTTAATTCCTATTATGATTCCTATTATTGTATATTAAATCATTTACTAGTGTTTAATCTGAGTTATGTACAATAAAGATTTTACAATACAATACAATGACTGTAGTAACAGAGTTTACCATTAGTAACCATCAGTAATTACATCTATAAAAGTATTCATTACTTATTTCAATAAAAAAAATATATTCTTACCTGATTTTACTAATAAGGGCTGTGAACTGAGACACATGATCAGGTTGATTAACACCAGTAAGGAGAGTAGCACTAGGTATAATACTCCCACATTCATCGGTCTCATTGTTAAAATAAAAAGAATTAATATAATTTACCATGTCATTTAGTAACATACTATAAGTCTTGCAATGTAATTCCTGTAAATAATTGTTTATAATTTTTTTTTTCTAATAAACATATGGGATATGTTAGAAGAGTTTAAATTAATAGTATGTAATAATAAAGGCAGTCTAACACTAGGAGGATATACGTACACATCAGAATATATCCTACAAAGAAAGCTCTTCTAGTCCTCCAATGGATTGCAAGTTGAATAATAAATATAAAAAAAATTATAACAATGGAAAAGAAAATATTTTAAAAAACTTACTGTTAATTTATTTTCTATATATTTCCAATTCCTTTTATATGTCACATACCAAGGTTCTTTTTTGAATATATTATCAAAAAGATTTGGATTACTTTTCTTCTGGGAGTGCTTTTTATTTAAACCCTTAGAGAATAGAAATACACCCTGTAATAATGAAATGCTTAACATCATTTTATGTAGTTATTTAAAAATTATTAGACAACATAAAAATTACATGAGAATTTATTTTAATCATTTTATACAGACAAATTTTAAAACTATGATCATAACTCTATCTACTTAATTTCTATAGAACTTAACTTGAAACCTAATAATACTTGGCAGGAATTTTAACAATCAAGCTCAAAGGAAGGAAATCCTTACTAATATTATAAATATGAGTTTGTTTGTTCTCTTGGAGCCTTAACGTGTTAATCAATTAATATAAAATCTGACATGTGCAAAGTATCTGAAATGGAGTACTTTCTATCTCAATCTCAACTTTTTCTACTCATTTATAAAAGAAGTATTTTTTTGTAAATCATTCAATTCATATAGTTTCAATAACCTGTCACCTACATCACAATCGCACATGCAAAGTAAATATAAAGATATAAAAATATAATTGTTAGTATAAAATTACAAAAAAATCTGCTCCTCTGTATATAAACGGTACAAAAACTTTTTATAGTATTTAATCTATATAAATAAACATAAAAACAATATACTTAACCTCATCTACTTAGAAATGAAAAAAAAAAGAAACAACTACTATTTAAGGAATTATTGATTGCCCACCTTGGAAACTGAAACTGTAGACTCCATGTTATAATAAACTTTCGGGTTAACGAATTAGCATTAAAGTAAGTTTTCAAAGGAGGTTACCAGTACCTGTGAATAAAGATGGAAACTTTAAAACAATTATAATTTTACCAAAACATTAAAAAAAATAGAATTATCAAAAATATTTCAATTACTGACATAATAAAACGAAATTTATTGATAAATAAGTCGATATAAATAACTAAAACGAAATTTATATTTACAAACAGGTAAGAAACATCCCGTAAATTGTAACTACTTGAACTTTTCTTTTAATTATTTGTCGATTATCAAGAACAGAAAAGCAAAAAAGATAATAAAATTCGTATCACAATATAATCACAAAAAACCAAGCGGCAAATAATATAATAACGTGAAGAAATATTTAACAAACAAAAGTAACCGCGAGAAACTTTTAAGTCAAACTGACAGATTACAAAACAGAACAGATGACAGATCATAAATAGGCAATGTGATTTCCACAGATGTATGCCTAAATATGTCTGTGGTGATTTCTTACACGTTACCTTAACAGCAAAACTATCAGCAAACTTAGATCAATCATTACAACAAAAGATCGTCGTGGGTACTATTATCTTTAATCCATAACAGCAAATGTCTTATTCTTGATATTAAAGAGTTACTTTGGCTTTAATTTAACATGTAGGTATCATTTTATGCAAATGAAGATTGACAGCAGATATTAAGAATTTAGAGGGCGAACCTTAATGCTACCTGACAGGGTCTACCAGAGGGAGACTGTACATTAATCATAAAAATGACTACATAAAAATTCTTAAATCTAGGTTTACATAAATAAAAATATTTCTTTCTTTTTTTCCGGAATACATATAATGTAAAATCTAATAAATTTGTGAAATATTTAAGTAAGATGATTAAAATTTGAAAAATGTCTCTTTTTTAGAATGATTAGAGGTAAATAGTAATGGAAGAAAGATAAATAGAGACATAATATGGGACGAATAGATAGGTAATATGGGGCTAATAGAAACGGACAAGAAGTCAATAGACAAATCGTAGGTAAAATTTAAATTCTGCCAATATTATTGTTATATCGATAAATAGAATATTTTCCAAAGAAAACATATAATAAGTGTGTAATTCGTATTGCCAGTTAAGTGTCACCAGGTAGTCACATAGCATTCGTCGATTATTGTCGTTTTATTAATGATAACATTTACTCCGCCGATCAGGTTTGAAATCAAATGCCAAAGAAAGAATCTATTATCAGTTTTTTAATTAATTAAATTACAATATTACTTAAATACGTTATACTTATGTAATATTGTTAATAAAATTTAAGTATTTTTGGAGTTAGTCAAATCAAAATTGTCAAATTTTAACAAAAAACTGTTCAATTTTCTTTTAGGGACTCCTTCTTATTAACAATTTTGTAAAAAAGTACAATATTTAAATCAATGTAAAGGTTTATATTACAAATTTACTCACTAATAAAAACAAGGATAAATCTATCTTAAACATTTCATGTAGTATTTTTGTGTATATTCAATTAGACATGAATTTATATTTGACTTGAAGAAAAAACTAAGTTTAACTTAAATCTACTAAAATGCTATTTGGACGGTAATAGCCCTGGCCAATTTTTCTATTCACCCCATATGTCGTTTATTTTAACCCCATGTCCGGGGTGAATACAAACAAATAACATTTTAATATTTTTCTTTTAAATAAAGAAATAAACCGCTTTTTTTATATGAGTGGTAATGGAATAACCCATAGGGACGAATTCGTAAAAAAAATTATTAAGTTTGTTTCTAAGGGGGACCGCGGGAAGGTCGACCTGATAGGGTATGCTAGCAATGAGGTTGGTAAGCCCATACTAATAATCACTTCCCCTAGATCATCTTGTTTTATACACTATATATACACACATAAAAAAAGTCTAAGCAACACATACTATTTCAAATTATTAATCAATTATTATATCATTTCTTACCAAATAGGTAATACCTATGTAAACTTTTTTGATCTTAAGGACATACTGGCTAGTTGTAAAAAAAAATCGAGTATCATTTGTTTTTTTTTCACAAATTCAAAAGCATGCATTTGTTCGAATTTTATAGCGTTTACTTTACTTATTAAAATTTAGTATTCTGTATTAATTTTATAATTTAAACAATAATTTGAAAAAAGTTTTGAACAAATTTGGATTTTGAGACATTTTTTACGTCATGCAGTGACATCATTTAAACGCAAATGAAATGCAAAAAGCTGTAGGGATGTTGCAAGCGAGAAGAAGTCAATCTCAGGTATCTCGGTATTTTGGTGTCAACAGAAGCGTTATTTGCCGTCTTCATCAGCGTTATACTAAGACGGGAGATCCTACTGAGCAGCACCCAGGTCGAGGAAGGTGTACAACGACACAGCAAGATCGATACATACAACTGACTGCAAGACGCCAGCCGATGTTAACCGCCCGAGAGATAGGTTTAAGGCTACAAATTTAAGTGGTGTTGTTGTTAACTGCCAAACTGCGAAATCGACTGCATGAGTTTTTTTTTTTTTTTGTTTAATGTACAGGATTTGGATTCCCATGCACTTACGGTTGCGCTTTTGGTGTTAGGTTCAGTTAAAAGACTTGGCGTTGTTGATAATGCATCTGATGTGTGTTTTGAAGCTATGCACAGTGGATTCTTTTCCGATGATCTCTAGTAGGTTGTATGGGTCGGCGATGCCGGTCATTCGGCAAGCGGTCTTATGGTCGAGTCTGGTGGAGTCGAACCTTGGGCAGGCCCGGATGAGGTGATCCATGGTTTGCTGGTGGTCGGCGTTGCATGGGCATTTGTCGTCAGGGATGATCCCGAAACGTTTAAGAGTATGGAAGTGCATCCATACAACGCCTCAACAGTTATGGTATGGGCGGGTATTATGAAGAACAAACGAACTGAGCTCGTTTTTGTAAATGGTAATATGAACGCTGTAAATTACGTTGAGGATGTTCTAAGGCCTTATGTCCGTCCATTCACACTAACGCTTGGCTCCGATTTCACGTTGATGCATGACAATGCGCGTTCGCATACAGCTTTGCACACACGGGAGTACTTGGCAAGGGAAAACATCCTGGTATTGCCTTGGCCTGCACAATTGCCAGCCCTCAACCTCGTCGAGCATGCATGGGACATGCTCCAGAGACGTGTTTTAAAGGACTTGGATGGAGTGACAACAACCCAAAGACTAATGGACTTACTAAAATTTCATTGGGAGCAATTGCCGCAGGATAACATTAACTGTCTCATCGATTCTATGAATAATCGGTGCCAGCAAGTTCTCCATAACAGAGGAAGCCATACTTTGTATTAATTTATGCAATTTTTGTACAACCATTTAATTTTAGTTTAGGTTTAGTTGATTAGGCATCTTACTTTATACTACGTACATACTTACGTACGTACTTACTCGTAATTATTGATAAGATTATTAAAAAATAAATAAAAAAAAATGTTTAATATCAAAAAAGCATTAAAAAATAATATAAATAACAAAAAAAACTAAGGATTTAATGCGAAAACACATTGTAAAATAGAAATTTGTATGTGTTGCTTAAACTTTTTTTGATGTGTTTAGTTGATACGCCATCTAGTAGATGATGTATCAAGACAAAACATAGTTTTTAATAATTGTGGAAACCGCATTCAATTTCATGTAACAATTTTTACGTGTAATCAAAAGAACCATACAAGCAGACATAATTGTTTTTAAATATTGTTTTGGCTTCTATTCATCTATCTCCTATATAAACAAGATCTAGTTACAATTTTATTAATTAAGAGTAAGAGTACGAAAACCAATGAGTATTTCTAGATGGTGCATCAAGATAAAAAATACATTAGTTTTTAAGTAAGATTTCTAGGAATAACACTAAAAAAACCATATCAAATTTGGTGCGCTAGTTTTTGAGCGATACCAGAACAAACATACAGACAGACAATAATTCTAAAAATTATTGTTTTGACTTCTCTTGCTCTTATTGAGACCCCTCACATGTTTTTTAATATCTTTTATGTATAGATATCATCTACTTAATTTTTTTTCAACAAGGTGTAATACTACGCTAAATATACAAATGAAATCTATGCTGTTTCGTGTTATTCTAAATTTTAAAGAAAACAAAAAAAACTCGCACAGTGCAAGTCGAAATGTCATATTACTGATGCAAAACGTTAACTATTGTTTCATGAAGGGTAAGAGATTGTTAATGACAAGGGCTAGCGGGCCCATTGCTAGCCTAATAGATCATTCCTCTTAGAATTATCATGGTTAATTCTTGACGAACTCATTACAATGGGTCAGACCTGATTTATCCTTGTTTACCATCCCTCACTAAAGTCCAGTTAGCATATTTTGATAGCATAAAAGGTTTATCATACCATTATAATTTACTAAAATATTGTTTGACACCAACTAAGTAAAAAAGTAGAAATCCGTATCCGTATCTGTGTATTATCTGTATATGCAGATGTACATTTTTAACGAGCCGACACCTCTCTTATTTAATTTATTAGTAATGGGGTCTTACAACCCCATTACTAACGATTCCTTTAACAACTATATATATATAACACAAGGGACAAACGAATATGCGGCTCACTTGATGGTAAAACGACTACCGCTATATCTATATGAGACAGTTATCACTTTCTCTTATATTATTGACTTTCCCATGATGTGAACCTGTGAACCATCAGCTTATTTGCCATTAAAAGTTAATAACAAACGTATAGATAGTTGCCATTCCTAAAATTTTTTTTTAAACCATATATATATTTATTAACCATCTATGTAATTAGAAATTATAACGACATGAAATAATTACCTATAATGAATAACATCTGATGTTCTCTATCATAAATACATAATTCAATAAAAAAATGAAAATAACAAAATTTTGTAACAAGAAAAATTGTTTTATTGTTGAAGCTCAATAAAATACTTTAAAGCCATTCACTATAGCTTAATGAAGTAACTAAGCACCTATAAACATTGTATGATTTATGTACATTCATTGTTTATTAAAATAACATACAACAAACTTTTCAAATTATTAACGTAATTTCAATAGTTCCAATACCCTTACCGAGATGAGATTTTACAGTTATTAATAGCCATTCCTTGTAACTCTAATATGTGTTTTTTCTCAATCATCATAATAATCTAATTCAGCTTAAACCATGCCACTATTTCATTGAAAAAGATAGATAATGATTATATTACCTGGAAAAATTTGATATAATATATAAGTAGATAGGTAATTACGACTCAGGCAACTTTAAGGATTATACTAAGGGATTATAGTGATACAGCCTAGTGCAAATGGTTTCTAAAAAATAAATATGAGAGCATATCCAAATCGTAAACAACGCTAAAAACAGAAACAAGGAACAGCTGTTTCTCTTAAGAAAATAAAATTTATGGGTAAGTAAATTTCTAGGTGAAGCCACAAAATAATTTTATCCTCATCCTCCATTATCTTAAAAAAGAGATTGTTGGAAATTCTTGGAGTTAACTATATTTTTGTGATAATTGTTTTTCTAATTTAAAATTTACTTTAATTTTGGTTTTATTCTAATTTTATTATGGTTGATCATAACAAAATTAGTTATTTTATGTAATAAAAAATTAAATATTTTTTTTAAGAATGTTCTCGTTACTTTTCGTGGAAGATGTTCATTAAATCTGACACTTATTATATTTTTTTCATTACAAATTGTAAACTTCGGACATTCATGATTTTCTCAATGAAACAAAAAATAACTATTATATATACACCCACGCGTATCGCACTGTATGAAAAACTAGGTTACGTTGTTAATTATAAATATCTTTCTCTGTCAACACGAGATCCCAAATCATGAAATATCGGAGGTATTTTTCAATTTGAATGTTAAAAATTACAGGCCTTACTAATCCTGCTGCTATAGGAACTAGGTACATAGTACCTAATATAATTAACTATTTATTTATTTATTTAGGTAGTTTCTTATTTTTAAACAATTGAAATTATAATTTAAGAAATTAAATATTAAGCTAGGTAATTGGTACTTGTACATAACTGAGGAGTTTAATATCCTACTTTTGAAACAAGTATCTATGTGCATGTAAAAATACTTAACAAGAATTTCATTAACACCAAAGCACCTCAGAATATCTTAATTTTGCTTAATTCTATACATTTTACTGAAAACTGGTCAGTATACGGGTACGAAGAATATAAAATACTCAATCTAATGATCAAATTAAGCTCACATAACATAAAAAAAAATAACAATGTAAATAATCACGTCATTTATAAGTAGTAAACGTATACATAGGTAAAAGTATAGCACAATTAATTTTACATTTATTACTTAGTAGTTTTACCCGCGACTTCGTCCGCGTGGCCGGTATACTGACTGGAATTTAAAGTAACCTATATCGTTGTTCATCCCATGTAGGCCGTTTATACCAAATATCATAAAGTTCGATTTAGGTGCTATAAGGTAACAGGCAAACAAACTCACTTTCACATTTATAATATTAGTATCATAAGAATTATTCGATTGTTCTACCACTTCTTCTCTAAAAATATGAACCTAAAATGTGTATAAGTAAATACTAATCGACATAACTTTTCTACAGTTCTTATGTTCTTTTTCCGATACCCTTAATAATATACATTAAAAATGTCATGTAAAGTCAATATGTTACATAGGTGTATAATATACTATATAAAAAGTTTTTTTTTTTTAATTTTATAGTATATAACAGCTAACTTTAGAACTCTTCAAATTTCATATACATACATAATGCTCACTCTATAAGTATTATATTTGAGCCGTACATGTGTAGAGATTCAAGACCTGACATAGATGATTTCATAAAGTTTAAACAACAAACATTATAATTCAATATCATTTCCCAGTTATATATAAACATACATAAAATTAATATAAGTTTTAATATATATATATATTTATCTTAATACAAAGAACAACCAAGTCTACCGTCGAACAATTACATGACAATTCAAAACTCATTTTTATTTATATTCACAGAAGGGAAGTACCACAGAAATATAAGAACAGTTAAGCATTTCTGTAATCATATGTATTATCTATTGTATAAAATATTGCTCGCTCGCTAATCCAGTTTAAAAAGAATATAGTCATATCTCATATTAAATAAATAAAAATATATGCTCACGACTGTAATGTTTGATAGGTTAGTCAAAATAATTTGTCCACACTATTCCCATTGTAATATATATATATAACACTTGACATTTGTTTTGCTCATATTTGGCCGAGCATATTTCGATACAAGCTGGCGAGCATACCGACTTCACTTGAATTAATTTGATTTGGTTTGGTGATGTTTAGAGTAGCCGGAAAATTAGATGAAAATTAAAATTGATATACAAAGTTTTTATGTGTCTTCCACGTTCTAATTCATGGCCTTTATAGTTTGTAAGTCCGGATAGTATACCACTAAGCTATAATGCTCTCCAATAATACTTGATGTTTAATACCGATATAAATTGAGAAAAAATTGAACTATATTATTATGATATATCACTGAGCTGGAGAGCGAGGTGCTAATGCAGATTCTTCACATGGAGAATGACGTTCTTCTTCAGTACTAAATTTATATTCTCTCTCAGTTGATGAGTGTTCCGGTACGGGAGAAGTTCTGCCTTCGGTAGTAGTAGACGCCTCCAGAGTAGGACCCGCTGGTCCGAAAGCCATACTCTCTGTTCCATAGGCCACTTCTCCTGTCCCGACATATTCAGATGGTTGATATCCGTAGCTGTTCAAACTGAAATATAAGGAAAAGTTGATTAAAACTATTAGAATAATATTTCCTGTCTCAAAATTATATAATTTGTTTTATATCTATAGTTGTATCAATGTATCGTTAAATTTATCATATTTATAACAGCTGTAACCTATGTCTTTGCCCGTATTAGACCAAATTTATTCACATCTGTTCATCTGTTTTAAATATTTGAATATAAAATAGCATAATTGAATAACAAAATCCAAACATTTTTATTTACACTTACATTATTTCTTAACATTTGTAGCATAGGTATATTATATATAATAGGATAAGTATTTTATTACCTATTCGGCCAGTAAGATATATCTTCTATAGCGTGATGGGCATACGGCGCATATGCATGTTGGTAGTAAGGTGAATGATGTTGAGTAGGAGTCTCATACTGTAAAGGATATAAAGGCGTCGGCGCAGATGTTGACGCAGAGTTGCTTGTAGGTGGTGGAGGTGCATATTCTAGTGGAGCAGGATACCCATGCGGCGGAGTACGGTACGGCCCAGGAGATGTATTTGGTTGCGGTGAACTGTTTCCTTGTGTTGAGCTCCAATAACCAGTGCTACTTGGCCATGTATAACTGCTACTACTATTTGAGGGCGCTACAGAAGTCCGCTCAGAATTGCTATACGAAGCTGGTAAAAGAGAAAAAAATAATATTTATAATGAGTTATATTATATTTCTTCCTATTTCAAAAATAAGTATCAAAATATTGCTATTGAATCTTAAGAAATAAAAAATACATTATTGCTGTGCCATAGATATCATAACAAAAATATATGATTTGCAGTTTTACGCGTAATACAATCTTGATAAGGTTTGCCGTCAAAATTTGTTTCCAAACGTACAAATTCCTGTGCCAGTATACCTACATACGGATTGCCCACAATAAAATTCAGACTGCCACGAGCCACAAAACAATTCAAATGGACTCTGTTTTTGCGCCTATGTCATAACCTCTATGCTTCAGAAAAAGTGACAACTACCAATACTCAATATGGAAGAAAGGTTCTTGAGTGGCAATCCCCAATGGCACAAATGCCAACTCCCCCACTAGATGAAGTGATGACTTAAAATCTATTGCAGGGAGTCAGCGGAAGCAGGTGGCTTAAAACTGTTCCTAATGGCAGGCTATGTGGAGGCCTATATTCAGCAATGGACAGATAACGACTGGTATTTGGATGAATTATATACAAAATTTAATGATTTTCCAAATCCTTGGAAAATTAGTAGCGTATATTTTATATAAGAATATGTATGAACTTACAAGGAGGAGATAGTGTCCGTGGCCGTGAAGGCGGTCGTGGTGGGTACGGCGCTGGCCTCCGAGACGCTGTATTACTACCTCCATACAAAGACTGCGACGCTACAAACCATCCACCAACTGTAAAACAAACCTCTTATAAACTTAATACAACATCCGTGCTACAATAATATTTAAATTTCCGATCCTGTCAATTTAGAAAATAAAACTTTTCCAAATTCTGAATTATGCCCTCACTGAAAGAATTATAAGATAACTGGTGTGATTATGGGGCACTTATTAAAATCATACATTTGTCACGAGTCTCTATTGTGTTATTCTACTAAAAATTAAATTGATGGAAAATGATAATTGTCGCATATAAATGTTCGTAATACCTATCATGAACAATATTTTTTAAACGTTGCTGCATCTGATGTTATCAGAAATTGTACTTTATTGGTTGTAAAGGTTTTAACATTGATACCAAAAAATACTTCAACCAAGGTGTTAACATAAAATAAATTGTAAGACTGTCAATTTAAATGACTTCTGAATAAACAATATTACAGAAAGAACCTACTCAAAATCTACTTACTCAACATTTTACTATATCTATTAGTTATTAAAAATAATAATAATAAGTGCCGCAAAATACATCAGATAATATAGGTACAATAAATAAACTGGACTCGTTTAAAATAAAAAATAAATACATAAATAAACTCTTACATTGTGGATACTGATGGGGCGAAGAACTTTGTTGAGGATAATGGGTGCCTACAAAATCTCTCTGGTAATATCCCTCCGGTCTCTCTTTTGCATCCAGGAATGCTTTTGCAAAAGGATTATATTTGATTTTAAGTGACGTCACTTCTTCATTCTGGTATGCAGTGACAGCGATAAATTGTGTCTCAGGAAAAGGATAAGTCATGATTCGCCGTAAATCAGTACCGACTTTAACCAGATGAACCCGAGGTTCATATTTGTGCAGAGAATTCAACATGATCTACAAAGAAATTAATAATAAACTTTATTGCTTTAATATAAAAGTAAAATTAAATGTGTTTGACAACAATTTAAAAATATTACTTCTTGTATCATTTGTGTACAAATATGTCTATTTTTTTTTTGCATGCAAATAAAATCTTACTTAAGTGAATGTTTACTTTTTTATTTTATTTTTTAAATAGAAAGTAGTAACTGTAGCCTATAGATATGAACAGTACATGATTTCCTTATAGTTACCATTTCTGAGGACTAAGATAACACACCTCCGTTCTCTATAATTTCATTGCCATATCCCATTCTTCAAACCAAAAACCTTATATTCCAATGAAAGGCTACGTGCTTAACAGGCTTAACATTTACATGTTTTCTTTAAAAACTTATATAATAATAATTTAGTTTTTTTTAACATGTTTTAAATCATTTTATGTTTTTTATTTTTGATGAAAGAAAATTTATGTATAATCTACATATATGTACTAATGCTAAGAGCAAGTATATTTTTTCCAGAGTGTTATTTTTAATATCCTTTATATCTTATGATACCACAATAAATTCTTTTACAAAAGTTTTAAATCTTTATTAGGCACCAGTATTAACTTTTGAGAACCATTAAGACGAAGACTGGCACTGCATGATGGGTTCCATCGACAAATACTGTATTCTGTAATGTCTATGGTACTGTTCATGCTATAAGCAACGTTTTCTACTTTCCAAAATGTGGACTGATAGCTTGTTCGCCATTCTAAGTATAATAAATAAATATATATATATAATTGTGGTAGAACAGTTCAATGTTTATAATTCTATTAAACGTGATAAAAAATAATTAGTAGCTTAAAAAAAGGCCCACATTCAAGATAGTGATCCATATTTCTCTTTTTATTAATATAAAAATCAGACCAATACGACAGATAAGGGTTATTGTTAAAAAAAAACACATTTACTACATTTTCTTGCCTTCTATTTTATGCTAATTAAATAATAAACTCTAAACAAGGCTATATTGTAGAAAAAACAAAACATGAAATGGTATGCCTACAACAAATATCTCACGTTGACATGCGAATCTTAGTCTCTCTCGTATAAATCAATTTTTGATAATGAAAGTCAGTTGCATATTGATTAGAAGCAACTAACATAAAAAGATGTGTAATGTAAACATAGCATTGAGACAATAATTATTACGAATGATAGTGCATACGGCACCCGCTAAACAGTTGGTAAAGCTACAGATTTCACACCGAGCCGTCAACATATGGATCTGGATGTACTACATGTGTTTACTTTCATAATCATTCGCACCAAATTCAATCGTGAGAACTTGCTTCCCTAAACTAGCGGTAACTACGAAACTGTGGATGACACCTTCAAATCGCATGCTCCTAATAACGTATTCTAAGAGTACAGTGAACTAATTAAATATGCCATATTTTGAAGAAGCTGAACAAAATACAGCACAGAAAAAATCAAATGTAAATATGCTGGAGATGGTAATGTAGTTCAACTGTTCAATACATTGTTACAGTGGGAACCTTGATCATGCTAATAAGTAACAAATGAGTATAACAAACAACTATTCTTTGTACATTTTGGAGTAGGAATTTATACCTTTATTCTACTTGTTTTCTTTGTATTAAAATCAAATATATAAACCATTGAACTTAGTACAGAGCCTACCTGAAATAACTATTATCTCTAAACATCCAGTTTATAATCTAAATTTATAATCTTATATGATGTAAAAATTAATATTTGTAAAGTATCGGGTTGCTTTTTAAAGTTTTTAACAATTATTACCTGACCATTTCCATTAGTTTTATTGGTTAATTTAACTTTCGCGAAAGAAATAGGCTCCTTCATCCAATGGGCTCCAAAATTTGGACTTTCTGGATGAATATATATAGCGTTTGACGGTGGTACTTCTGCTTTACCACCAGGTACCTAAAAAGTAAATAATAGTTACACATTATTTTTTAATAATTTAATGACTATGGTCCTACTATAATGACAATCAACATACCCATTCACCGTTAACATATTTCCACCGATGTGAGTCAACTTGAACAAACTCAAGCAAAACTGTATACATTGCCGTTGGATCCAAACCACTAGCGGTTACTTTAACTACAGGAAACATGCGCCTGAAACAAATTAAATTAAGATTATAATGATTTATTTTAAAATAACAATCTAAAAATATAGTTTTTTGATATCTCCTATTGCCACGTTGGATTTGAATATGCTCATGAAATTTAGGCATTTTTTGTGCGACATTCATCAAAATGGTATCTAACAATAATCTGTAACATTCGAATTTCTACTTATACTTATTGTACTAAGAAATACCAAAAATGAGAATACTGTCTGTAAGTCAATAGCTACCTAACTACATCGTAATAAAAAAAAACTCCATGTATGGAAACGATCTCTTTATACTTTTATAGTAAACTAGCTGTTACTATATAACTATGCCCGCGTTATCTATGTATAAATTACCTATATATTAAAATATATCCTACTCCCGTACCAAATAACATTAAATTTCGTTCAACCATTTAAACATAATTAAGTATCAAATGTACGTCCTCCCAAACTTTATAACAGTAGTACTCGATAAGGTGAAGTAAATATAAATATATAAATATAAATAATCATTATTTCACTCTTTGTTACAATATAGTTTGAAGTCCCTAACTCCCGAGGTTGGTATGAAAAAACCTGTGTTTCAGGAGTTAGAGGTAGTAGGAAGTAGGAAGTAGAATATCATTTAACCCCTATATTTATGTATAAAACCTTCAATATATGTAATAAACCTGTTTTAGCTATTGCAGTGTTGTCTTTTTATTATTTGTGTAGGGTATAAAAAGAACCTACTGTTAAAATTAGATAATTTTAACTTTATTATTTTCGGCCGTGTGTTAATAAGTCAGTCAGGACTTTTTTTTTATAATATATTATAGAAATATAGACATAGATTAAAACAAGTATATACTAGTTGATAAAAAAAAATGTTTAAAAATAAAGATATATTATGCTATTCATGTCTTTAATTACCATTTGCCATCAGTTCAGGCCAGTACAGCTGCAACTCATAAAAGAAAGGCATACTTACTTGTATTTTTAAAATGTCTCTCCATTTTAAGTACTACATCTGCGACATGAGTGTTCGTACCGCTGAATTTCCATCAGCGGCATCGTTTAGCCTGTCTGCGTTAATGAGAATGGCCTACCATGTTAATAGCTAAAAACTAGCCGCCCGTCAGTGACTGTTTAACACTGAGAATGTCTCCGTGTTGATACATAATGCGAATGGCATCCTAGAGGTACATTGATTTTGCGTAGGTAGATAGGACATTACTCGACATTATAGATATTTTCAAGTAAAGCAAAAAGCAACTTTTCTAACATAATGGACTTAGTTATATAGCGGTTTAACACACTGTCCCACTATTCAAAGGCCGCGGGTTCTATCCGCAATACATACATACATATAATACATAAATTGTACAAATTTTTGTACAATTTGTATTCATATATATATATATATATATATATATATATATATATATATATATATATATATATATATATATATATATATATATATATATATTGTATACATGTATTATATTTATATTATGTCTGTATATGATCGTTGTTGCCACGCATGGCAGGCGGACACAGTTATGCTGTGGTAATGTTTTAAGAGAAAAGTTTCTGCTCGTCCATCGACTATTAAGATTTCCTTAGATGTCTCTTACGATACTCAAAAGAAAGGAAGGGGTCATCCATTCTATCCCGATGCCACATAGCGTGCGGTTTGTATATAAAAAAACATATTTAAGTATATCTACCATAGGTCATCTGTTAAAATGAAACATAGCCAACCTACAAGCACAATTGCTTGGCGGCGACAACACGTATGGAATAGATATGCCTATTCAAATCCATCTAATATATTTTCTTCACGTATAAATAATCTATAAATCAAGACTTCTATAACATTATGTTATTTTCTGTATAGATTAGATTTATTTTTTATCGACTGGACTGTCAGTTTATTTGACATTTCAAGTTGAAAAATAAGATCTTGCTTACCTAAGCAGTAGGCATAATAATTTAAGAATTTCTAATACAATCGTTGCATATTCATATGCAATTAGATTCTAAAAAATGCAAAATTGAAAAACGAAACACGCAGCGCAGTAAGTAATAAACATAATTGTCATTTCATAAGTTTTACTCTCTGTAAATAAACTATTACGTCACTTTCATAATTATTTTAAACTTGACCTTCTAAATAAAACATGTAAACATTGCAAATTCATCCATATAATATATTTCAGATGAAATTTACGACTTCAACATAAAAAGATGACACAAGGAACTATAAATATTTCTACTATTGTGTCTATGTATACGGGTTTGTACCGTTTGTTTGTAATACAGGGTCACTCATAATGTTAACAATGCTATCCATAACCGCTGACTATATCTTTATAATAGATACTGTAATATTTATTATAAAGATATATAATAGCGAAGTCTTAATTAAATATTAGTATTTCCTAGTAGGAAACTCAATATTTTACAACAAATATATCTTAAATATTAGTAGTGTTTAAATGTAGTAATAGATAAAAAATATGTATATAGTAACTTGTTTATTCTTGACAGAAGACTAGGTATAATTATAAGATATTCATTTCAGCATTGTAGTAGTGATACCTGAACCTATAAGACAGCAATTAAAAACTATATTATGTGAGTATAGCAACAATGTAGAAGTATAATAATGATTCAAAAGTAAACAAATAATTATTTGAAAAATTTGAATTAATTTACAGAACTTGTCTAAAAATTATAGTTAAATGTGCAGGTATTTAATTGCAAGAAATATTGTATGCAAGCGCGTTGATGTCTTTGGTTTGTTGCATTAATAGGGCTACATTTTTATATGTTATTACGCTTTAATTTTTGGAGAGAAATGCATTATTCAAATTGTACCACTGTACACTAACTGATAATTTATCTTTTTTTTTAATATATATCTTGCCTATTTAACTGTAAATTTGCTAAATAACTACTATTTAAAAAAATGTCAAAAAGATAGCAATATAATTTAGTATCTACTATATTTATATTGCTATCTTTTGCGAATTAACTTACAATTTGAGGATGTAAGAAAATACATTTCCTATTTTATATTTATCCCACTGCGAAATAAGTGACGGTAGTATTTTTCGGGTGCATATATATTTGTGTTTTTTCGTGATACCAAACTTTTCGTGCAAAATGTTACCCACAATACCTAAAAATCTTAATACATTAATAAATAGGGTATCTTTAGATTAATCATATTCATCATCATTATAATAATAATTATCTTTAGTTTTAATTGTGGAAATTCTATGTATAACAATATAAAATAAATTATTTAAAGTTCGCTGCTAATTCTAACTAAGGTAGTCAGAATTAGCAGCGAAAGAAAAAGTTTTAAAAAATGGCGAGCATAAAATATCATAGAAAAGTCGCAGTATCAAAGGTTTTTCTATCTGAAAAAGCCCGTCTTTCAATAATAATAAAATTCTGAGTTTATAACTTGCCATTACCCAGCAAACATTACCTCACTATCACAATGATTTCTACGGCACTTGGGTAAATGTGAAATATTATTTCTACTTTATATTTATCGAACTGCTGTAGTTTTCTCTATTATTATTGTAATAAATGTAAATACATGTAGGAAATATTTCTACACTTATATGAGTTATTCAGTTTCGTTTTTTGCCGCAGCCTTCGTGGAGTTAAGGAGAGCACATGGATATATAAAACTCACCGTCCATTCTTCGTGACAATCATCTCATTAGTAAGGGTCTGGAAGCGCACCCAAAGCTCCCGATCGTCGAGCGCGACGTTAACTTCGCGTTCTCTGCCGCCGCGCGTTCCGCCTCCGCCAACCGTCGGCTCTACCGCGCTCAGGATGTGCGATGCCGCCATCCTGCAGAAAACATACATATGTAATAGATAGTATTATGCCCTATGTCACATTGTATTACCGGGAATTGTGTGCGTGTTAAAAATTTAATACTCCATTACGGTTACAGTTGTTGTGTTTTTTATTCATTTCGATTTTTTTTTATTAACTAATAGAAATCGAAGCAATATATAAATATTTTATATAAATTAATAATTACTTATCTAATAATTCTAATTAGGTATCCGTAGTGACATATATATAAGAAATAGCTAAGTAAGTAACTTTTGTTTTTAAACAACTTTTAAAGAAAAGGTGATTTTCAATTCAGCAGTAAGTAAGTCTTCGTCTGTGATATCACACAATGTCTTAGCATATTTTGGTAACTGTTTTTATATTTTATCAAAGTAATATCGTACTAATTGTGTAGCAATTAAACTCTATATGTATTTGTACCTACATTAACCCATCGTATTCTGTTGTTATATTAACTTTTATTATTTTAAAAGTAAATAGTCAAAATCGTGATAATTAAAAAAATACAGTCGAATTGACTACCTCTTTTCTAAAGTCATTGGAAAACATAATTTTAATATTTCGCGCAGTGCTCAAACCACGTCAGTCACAGTGACAAAACTCCAAGGTCTTTACGAGTCATCCAAGTTTGATTTTAAACAAACATGCCTACTAGTTTACTGCGTTATGAAATACACAAATCTCCACTGTACAAACGGAAAGCATCACGAAATCTAAATGCAAATAAGCGGGATATTTTATTGTAAGTTTGGCCGCTGCACGATCGACTCGAATGTTTATTGTGCCCATTATCGCTGGCAACATGTCGGTTCCACGTACCAGTACCTACTTCTGCTACTATACACGAATTTTGTCAATTGTGTTAAAATTTCTAGAAATGATTATTAAAATTTTAATACATATATAACATTAACAACCACTTTTAGTGTTACAACAAAAGCAGACAAAAGGATTCCCCTTATAGGATCACTCACGTGCTTGTCTGTGAATTTTGTTCATATATGTAAGTTGGTAACTCAAAAACGAATGTGCAATGTAAATGGATTTTAAACATATGAGTATATGATTCTGGAGGGAAAAAAAAGTTTTGCAAACTACATCGTGTGATTTATCAAAAGAAAGGGCTTATTGTAAGAATTTAAAATATTTTATTTTGTAAATTTAAAATGTATAGTTTCAAAATTATATGTATAGTGACAAAAATATTAAGTCACTGATCCTAAATTATAAAATTAGAAAACAAACTTTTAAATTTTTTATTTTCAAAATTTTCACTATATTCCTTTTTAAAATAAATATAATATAAAATGTAATACGGAACCCTAAAAGTACCTAATGACTAAAAACTGTTTATACTCGTATAATACTTAGGTTACATTTAAAAACTGTTTAAATACCTACCCAAAAATTAGAGGAGACATTTTTATTATTTTATTGATTTGTGGCAATTGTGGTCTATTATAAAAATCTTCGGTATTTATGATCAAAAAAAAGTTTTTATTAAGCATATAATAAAACTTGGAAGAATAGCATCAACGCGATCAATAAAACTAAATACGAAAACAGCAATCACTAAAACTGAATAATTAGATTTATACTTATTTTTTATTTCTAATAAGTATACCTAACTTTTTGTAGGTTAATTTATAGATAAATTAAAATCTTAAATATATTTATGTGGGTCACGCAATCCCATATAAATAAGGATAATAAAGACTGCAACTTTAGATTATATAGATAAAGCATCAAGCCTCAAAACCAGGTCAAATTTTGTCAGCTAATTGTCAAATTAGCAAACTCATTTTTTTTTTTAGTGAGTGTTCTCACGTGTACTTCGTTCAAATGTATCTTAACGTATTATTTAATAAATAAAGTGGGTGTTTACGCATTAAAAATATGTAGAAATTATAAGACAAAATAAATATAGAAGTTAAAAAGGAATCACTCATAACTATATATAACACACGCAATATTGTATGAAAAAGTTGACCAGTTTTTCTCAAAGCATTTCTAAGAAGACACTCTATCTATATAATTTAAGACGGCAACTTATTAAAAGGAAACTATGAAAGTACTTATTTATGCAAAAATCAATTGTAACATTTTGCTTCTATAAAAAATATAGACAACTAAATTTTAAATTCAATATAAATAATTAATAATAACAGTCTGAGACATCTATCAATATCGCCGTTGTTCACCACGAACATAATATTCGACATATCCACTTTTCGCCGAGTATTTCAATCTAACGTAACAGGAGAAAAACTTTTTCAACTATAATAGTGCTTTCCATTCCTAAAGAGTTACTTGTAAATTTGTAAAAAATATAAAAAGTGCTTATATTATACACAAAATACGGCATCTTTCATATTAATTTATATAAATAAATCTAAATTGTCTAATATACACATATATAAGCACGTCACTTTTGACCGACTGTTTGTATTTATCAAGAAAAATCATGGTCTTATTGTCTTCATTACAAGAAATCCCTTCAATTAAATAGAATTGGCAATTATATAATAAAAACTAACACAAAGATTCACTCACTCTCATCTAATTATCTGTCTACTCCTATATCGGTTCATAGTATTCCGATATAACAAACAGTAATATAATCATCTGTTTAGACAGTATTGTGTACTGAACTATGTTGTTTAATTTGAGATTTCAAGTATGTAATTGGTAGATTTAGTCTAGTCAAAAAGGCCACCCCTGGTCTATGGGATCATTTCGACTTATATATAGCTACCATATGTACCTATATTATACGTTGTAATTTATTTACTAAATTGTATATTAGGGTTAGGTATATGAATAAATATCCACAAAGTTATTAATATCTAGTCTAGATTAGTTTCTTAGTTTTTCAAATATCATCATCATTATATTTTAGAATAAGTATTGTCATATTAGAATGTTGCTTTAGCCATAAACTTAAAACAAAATATTCTAAACTTTTAAAAATCTGCTAATTTAACATCAATTTATCACCTAACGTATTATACTATTTTATTTTTAATCTATATTACAAACTTACTTACCTATTAAAAAAATTTATTCAACTGCAGGTACTTACTCGTACTTTTTTTAGGTAGGTAATATCAAATTTGGAGATTCTTTTTGCAAATAATAGGGTTTACCCCTTTTTGATTGCATAATTATTTTGTCCTGATTGAAATCGGTTTTTTTGTGCAAAAAAAATAATTGTTCAGTTTCATCAACACAATTCACTAATCACTTGACAGTTGATACTTTAATAAAAACTAAACAGCTCTATAATATCAGATGAGCTAATATTTACTCTTATTAGACATTAATTTAACTAAGATTAGTGTATTATATAAATTGACAATTATCCTACTATTATCTACTGCGAAGCAGTAATTCGTTTGTTATTATTTCGATATAAATGTAAAAAAAAAGCTGTAAGTACTGACATAAAAATTACATATATTAATATTAAATTTACGTATATACGAATATGTATAAAGTTTGTGCATTTCATATATTTATAAAGATGGTCAGCACTTTTAATTAGATTTATTTTTATATTAAATGAAATAAAATAATTCAAGTAAACTGTTATATTTAACATCATTAACAGAATATAAAAGTAATACAATAATTTATATACAGGTAGATATTTCCCCATCACTGTCCCCATACGCTTGCAGTTTCTACGTAATGGTTAGCTGGTAGAGAATGTCATATGGCATTAAGCTCGCCATTTGTACAAATAATATTTTATAGTAAAGAATAAATAAATACTTAAATAAACATTTAAAGTTAACGAAAATATAAATATATACCTATACGTAAACACTGTATATATCTACCTACGTAATACTGACGTATTACAGTTCTAAGTGAAATTATGAAACGATAAAAATAAACACGAAAGGAAGAACTGGCTGAATATTGAAACAATTTGAAACGATGTGTTCATGGCTACGAAGACAGTCTGAATGCCGACACTTTATTGAATACTGTTATTTATTGTTGTGTCCACTATAGAGTATGTACTCGTAATTTGTTTTATGATCATCTTACAGAATAACTACGAAGGTTCCTATCGTATTCGTATAACATTTAAGTTTAAACAACAAGAAAGCATCCAACATGTATGTATAAAAGCGAAGTAATTACAGCGCTAGCCCACTCGTCCGCAGCGTCATTATTCATCGTTTTACGACTCCATGAGGTATAAATATTAAACTTAAGTCGTATAGGCGAATTGCGAACATTTTCTTTTTAATGGCGAGGTTAAATATGATGTGCGAGTGTTGGCCCCGGTTTCGAATCTAACTCTGTATCTGATGAGGCTCGCTACAAAATATTCAAAGCGTACCAGACAACATAAATTGTTATCGCCTTTTAATTACGCATAAGCTATAACGTTCTTTATCTATTGCCGCCAGGTCCTCCCTTCTATCCTCCAGAAGAGATGGCTCGATCTCTGCACGTGGAATGTCCTCTATCACTTGCAGTGCCGACGTTTTACTGATCCCTATAAAATATCAAAGATAACAACGAGTGGTTCTGACGGCTACGACGAAAGAAGCCCCAGTCCATTGATTGGACATTTATGACATTCAGGCCAATAAATGTATTGCATTGTGTACGTTATATATGTACCTGTGTACCTAGTGAATATATCAGTCAGTATCAGGGCGCAATTGTCGAGCCGGGCGAGTACAAGCGATGTGAGGCGAGAGGTGCTAATTATCAAATGCAAGACTGACCAAACCGATATTGAAACCATTGAAACAATACAGGCTGTGTTGTCTTTTCCAATTTCAAAGTTTGCAGAATGGCTGCGTAATGAAGGCTATGCAAATGGAACGATGCCGAAAACTCAAGTAAGTATTTTAATGGTCTTGCGTCATCGGTGTTTCAAACTTGAATTTTCATTATCACTTAGTATGTACCTATACAACGTCAGCCTTGATATGTTAATCAAACAATAGACTAAAATCAAATAA